GTCCCAGATCCATGTCAGCTCAGCATTGCCTAGTGATCCTGAGCAACCAGAATTAGGCTGTTTATGACTCCCTATGCCTGCACAGCTGAAGAGGTCAGAGACTTGATCTCTCCGCGCCCGCCGCCATGTTGGAATCCTATTTCTGGATTCTTTTCTCCGTTCCTTTGATCTGTTCATTCATCCATCCATTCATTCATTCATTCCACAACTGACTTGATTACGGTAGCTTTATGATGTCTTGAAATGGAATAGTGTAAGTCTTCCAATTTTTTTCTAAGTTGTTTCAGCCATAATCTTTTGCCTTTCCATATACATTTTAGAATTAGATTGTCCACATATATGAAAATGCTTGCTGGAATTTCACTTGGAATTGTATCGACTGTATAGATAAAATTTGGGAAGAAATGGCATCTTAACAATATTGAGTCTTCTAGTTCAGAACCATAATATATATCTTCATTTATATAGGACGTTTTATAAGTTATATGTTACTAAGTAACAAATTAGTCCAAATTAATGCTAGGGAACAACAAACATTTATTATCTTAACACTCATGGATTAGGATTCTGGAAAAACAGCATTTCTGGCTCAAGGTCTCTTGTAGAATGCAGTCAAGGTGTTGGTCATGATTTCAGTCATCTTGAGGGGAAGATCAACTTCTGAGCTTCCTTATCATGGCTATTGACAGGCTTTAAAAGATGTGCTTCCAAGTTTACTCAAGTGGGTCTCTCCACCAGGCTGCCTCACAACACGGCAGCTGGCTTTCCCCAGAGTGAGTGACCCAAGAGAGATTGAGAGAAAGAGGGCCTGATTTGGAAGCCATATTCATTTTATAAATTCTTTTTTGAATTTGTATCTCATCATGTCTACTGTACTTCTTAGAAGTAAATTATTAAGTGAAATTCACTCTCAAGTTGAGGATTTGAATTTAGGAGATGGAAGTCACTGAGCACTACCTTAGAGGCTACTACTGTGTTTTCTTTCATTTGTTTTACCAATTTTTTGTCATTTTCAACATAGAGACCCTGCGTGTGTTTGGTTAGACTTTTACCTAGGTATTACTTTGGGTTACGTTATTATGAATGTTGCTTTTAACATTTTTTTTCAAATTCTAATTATTTGTAGTATGTAGAAGCACAATCCATTTGTGTATATTGATTTTTGTATCCTGCAGTTTTGCTGAACTCACTTATTACTTCTCTGTACCCACTATTTTGAACTTTACTTTTTTTGCTTAAGATATATCTTGACAATTAAACCAGATAGGTCACAAAAATCTATACCACTAGTCTGTATTATTGCATGGATTTCAAGGTTTATCAGTCTGATATCCATCTGTATTCTATAAATCTTTTTTATTTATCTAAATATATATTTCAATATTGAATTAATAAAGAGAGTTTTCATTTTTAGGCTTTAAAGAAATGGATTAAAGAAAATGCTGCACTCAACTTTCTAAAACCTGGTGTATTGACTGGTCGTGGCAGAACAAATCAGAATACAGGTACTTATATATGTAGTAAATTAGATTTAGTATACTATCTATATAAAATACATAATACATATAAATTCTTTTTAAATGCTTTTACAGGGTTCAGTCAGAGAAGCAAAACCAGTAGGAGATTATACATATATATGGTATATGTATGTGTATTTTTATGTGTACACATACCTATGCATAACCTAGAGATTTCTTTGTTGTTGTTGTTTGTCTTTACTCTTAAGATTTAATAAATGTTTTACAACTTTGAAATACAGTCACATAGTAGCTTTTTAAAATTAGTATTTGCATTGTCTCTGTAGGTGATTATAAAAAATAAAAAATAGAATGAAAACTTAGAGCCATGAGAAATGTCACAGAAGGAATTGGCTTATACAATTGGGTTGGCAAGCAAGTCTGAGATCTGTAGGGCAGGTAGACAGGAAGGGAAGATCAGAATCAGGTTGAAACCCTGCAAGCATGAATATTTGAAGTCTCTGAGCTCAGGGAGGGCCGAGCTCATTGCTTCCCATCCTGTTCCCTTTAAAAAGTTCACCTGAATAGGTCAGGCCCACCTAGAATGAACTCCCTTTTAGTTTAAGTTAAATTCAACTGATTGTGGATTTTAATCAAATCTGCAAAATCCCTTCTCAGCAGCACCTAGATGAGTAACTGGGAACTGTAGTTCAGTTTCACTCAGTTGGTGAATTAGAAGGCCATCACACTGCTCAAACACCACAAACACTAGTCTCTTTGCTGGTAGACAGTTGCTTCCTCTCATATGTCCAACCAACAGAGCCAAAGTTGTTTTCCAAATACTGGTTGAATGTATCCCTTTCCTTAAACTCTCAATCAACAAATTTAAGATTAACTGAAAATATAAATATTCTGTATTATTATTATTATTTAAACTGTTGACATATAGCTTTTATGTATATTATATATATTATGGTATAAAAACAGTCAAAGGTGACAATCCTGAAGTCTAGCTAGGGTGGTCAAAGGATAAAAGGCTTCTCTGTTACCATCTGAGAAGGTCCTAGATGGCCAGCTCTCATTCTGACCTCTTCACAGCTGTGCTGCCTGCTCTCTAGAGACTATTTCATGACCCACAATGATGGGCTCTCACTCTGCTCTTCTTATTGAGTGTTGTTTGTAGTAAGCAACTTCTCATCATCCCATCATCTTGATCCTCAGTCGTTGCTCATATTCTTTCCCCATATATAATTTCTAAACTTTTGGAATATGAAAAGTAGATTCAGATTTTGAAACTGTGACTTATCAAGTGAAGTACAGCATCACCTTAGTGTGGTTGGGATTCAAAGTTCTCTGCAAATGATTCCAACATGAGTTTTCTGAGTAGGCATTCCAAAAATATTCTTACTTTAGAACTCCCTCTGTGCCAGGCGTTGTTCTTCTCCCAAGCAGCCACCATCCTCTGAAAATGAACAGAGATGCCCTTCTTCTACATTTCCACAGCATCCACTCTACCTGTTTCATTGCTCACCTCATGGAATCACAGCTTCCTATTTATATCCTCCTACAAAATGTGAGCTCCTTATGGATAAAAGTGGAACCTATAACCATTTTGCTACTATCTGACAAACCATGATCTATGATTACTAAATAAATGTTTGATGAATGGATAGATAGGTTAAGATGATTTGGATAGATAGGTGAAGATAATTTTAACTAAATATTTTTTTTTTCTGGTCTATCTTCTTCTTGTTACCATTAAACTAGAAAAATCGTGAGCTTTTATAACAAAACTTCAGGTAGAGGATAAATGTCAGTTCAGTTTGCTAAGTCTGAATATTTACAAATTTCCATTCCTATTGCCTTTTGATTTTCTATTTTGTGAAGAAGCAGGTTATTTAATCTATGCTCATTTTCCTCATCTGCCAAATGGAAAAATAATAATATTCATTATAGCTCATAGGGTTGATATGAATAGCAAAATACAGCTTATTGCATGATTTTGAATGACTCCTGAGCTAAAAATAAGATTTACATTTTTAAATGGTGGAAAAAAATCAAAAGATTTTTTCATGTCATGAAGCAGATATGAAATTCAAATTAAGTGTCTATAAAAAGTTTTGTTGGAACACAGTCATGTTCACTTATGTATTGTCTGTGGCTGCTTCACACTGCAGTGGCAGTGTAGAGCAGCTATGAAGCATGGTCCACAAAGCCTAAAATATTTACTAATAAGCCCTTCATAAAAAATATCTGCCATCTCCTGGTTTAGAAATGCCTGGCACATAGCAAGTGTTTAATACAGATTCAATATTAGCTTCTCACATATAGACTTCACATATAGACTTCTCACAGAGTGGTCCACATGTATTGTTTCATTTGTTTGGTTTCAGTTTTACTGAGAATCCATGGATTCAAAAGAAATAGAAAGTATATTTGTATCTTTAACAAAGAGTAATCTGAGTAAAGAAACCCCAAAGTAAAATCAAATAATTAGGAATTAAATTTAAGTGACTTTCTACAAATAAAACCGATTGCACTTGAGTTTTCACGACTTGGAATTACAAATAATTCATCAACTTGGAAAATGGTCTTTGTACAAACTGGATCCCATGGCCAGCTAGGTAAAGGAGGTAATATTACTTTCCTCTGCTTGCTTGAGGTGGGGCTTTTCTATGAAACGTTAAGTGGAGATCTGAAGGTGCTTCCACTAAAACTTAAATGCCGATGGGTCTTTGGAGCCTGTAAAGTTTGAACTTAAGTGTGCATATTCTTTCTCACCATTTTTGGTGTTGCCATGATCACGTGAACTGGGCAATTACCACGTCCTAACTTCAGTCTATATAGACAATTTAAATGTAGCCTTCAAGATCATACTGCTATAAGATATCATGGAAACATGTGGCTATCTTAGTCGAGGTCCTTTCTTTCTCCCCAGTTAATAGAAATCTACTTAGCTAGTCTGAGCAGAATGGGGGCCAGCTACAAGGATGCTCAGGTCTGTATAGGAAGTGCACTTAGGCTTCAAGTGCACTTTTACAAATGAGACTGGGAAGTCCTCTGATTCCATATGTCTGTTTCATTCTTTTTTCTTTACAGTTGCTCTCTCCATTTCTTCATTTAAGACTCCCCATACCTTCCCAATTTACTACCTGTCTCCAAAACCCAATCTCAGAATCCGAGTGGGAGAATGTGGCCCAACATAATTGAAGTGCTTATTTCAACCCAGTAGCTGCTATTTATCATCCCAGGGTGTCTCTACTTCCTCTACCATAACCTTATTTAGTCCATTGAGGAGAAATGGCAAGAGTATGGATGATTTTTAGGGTCAGTTTTGGAAAAAGGAATACACTGCTTTTGTCTGTAGGTCATTAATGAGAATTAGTCATAGGCATTCCAAATGCAAGGGAAGCTAGGAAGTCTGTTTTAGCTGTGTGCCCAACAAGAGGAAGAACAGGTAAACAGATAGTGTTTTCTCTTTCCCGGAGAAACAATACAACTATTGGTGAACAGCGAGTGCTGTCTCTTTGATTGAAAAACATAATATAACTGAAGCCACCCAGAGTTTCACTCCTCAGAGCGTGAGAGGAATAATTCTCAGACAACAGAAGGCAGGGAGTGAAGAACACTCCAGGAAGCACACTATTTGGGCATTAAACATAAGTTAAAGAAATGAACCTACTGCTTGCTAACCTTTCAGTTTACCATACCTCTGGAACTGTAAGGCCCTCATCTATAAAGGGGAATCATGTCACAATTCCTTGTTCATCTAAAAGGGCCTTGTGAAGTTCCAGTGAGTGCAAAAGTATGAAAAAGTTTTGTCAGCTGTAAATTCCTGTTTGCATGTAAAGGTGTTATTGTTAGCTATTGATATTTTTGCAAAAAGGTATTTGTTTTGGAATGACATTGTTGAAGCCACACAACTAGTAAATGCCGCAGTTGGGATTTGAACTGTTAGTGTTGTTGCAAAGTCTCAGATATTAAAGGTCTCTCTAAATTTCCTCTCTAAAACTGGCATAGGAATAGATCCTAATGCTTATGGTTGTTGGGAGATCAGGAATATAAAGCACTTATTATAGTACCTTGAATATAATGTGTATTCCATAAGTAGTTGCTAGTTTTTCAAGTGGAAAGTTTCCTCTTTGGTGCATTGTGTAATGTCTGTTTGCTTGATACAGGCATGACCCTCCCAGCACAGAAGTGTGCACTGGATGCATTCAGAGAAGATAAAGATAATATTCTGATTGTCACCTCAGTTGCTGATGAAGGCATCGACATTGCTCAGTGCAATCTGGTCATCCTGTATGAGTACGTGGGCAATGTCATCAAAATGATCCAAACCAGAGGTGAGAAACACTGTGATACAGTTCCTATATGGCTCCCACTGTATTTTTGTTTGGTGTTTGTCATTTTGGCCTATTTCCTCTACTGAATGAGGTTGAGTATACAATTGATGGTACAGGGGATTCAGGTATGTGGCTAAATGGTGACTTTGTTTGGTCTGGATTGGGTGTTTACAGTTGTACTCATTTATTTGTACCCTAGAGTGATTCTGTTCATAATGATACTGCTTACTTGCCCAACACTGACATATTTGTGAAAGGATAATTCCAACTTGGCTTGAGACTTTGCCAGTGTAGATCTTTCTAACTGGGCTGGTGGCTCCCTGTGCTCCAGAGGAGATTCTTCAGAGTTCTGTCCCACCTGGACTAGAGAATCTCCCAACTAGCCTACTTCCTTTTCCCTTTTTTTCCAATTTCTATGACTACCACATTAATTTTCCTGAAAAACAGCTCTGAGCGCATCACTGCCAGTACAGAAGTTTCCCCATTTCACTTCAAGTTTTCAAAATCCAGGACCCACTCACCTTTCCAATCTATTTCCCATTCTTCCCCTTCTTTCATTCTCCATTTCAGCCAATCAGACTTCATCATTTGCTGTTGAAAGTATGGTTAGTGTACTGGTACTATTTTTACTTCTTCCTCTGCATCCATCTTACCTGTCCCTAAGTCCCCCAGCTAGAATAAGATCTTTGAATGCCCACAGCCCTTTATGTCTATCTTCGTTCTGGTGATTGTGAACATGTCATTGCCTAAAAGGCTCTTGAGGAAGGAACTATTCATTATCATCTTAGAATCATGCTCAGAGTCATACGAAGGGTTCATACTGAATTATCTTTAAAGTGGCATTTCTGATAATAAGGCTATACAATCACACTGTGACATTGGAGACCCTAAGAGAGCTAGCTTGAGGTGGGCTCCTGGTTTATCCATGTGTTTAACATGCAGGTGAAAGCAGGATTCAGTGAACCAAAGTTGAAATTTTAGGAATATCTCTGTCCTTTTGTTTTTGTGTTCTCATGATATATGAGTTTTAAGTCAAAAACACTAAATAAAATATTTATTTTCCAATAGGCAGAGGAAGAGCAAGAGGTAGCAAATGCTACCTTCTGACTAGTAATGCTGATGTAATCGAAAAAGAAAATATAAACATGTACAGGGAAGAAATGATGAATGACTCCATTTCAAAACTTCAGACATGGGATAAAACGGAATTTGAAAAAAAAGTAAGTCAAATTTTCATCTGACCATAAATAACAGAAAACATGAACAGGGTTTGTACCTTTTATCATATTGTTCAGAATTTTGTGTTAGAATAGTAAGTTTGTTTTTGTTCCACAGTGAACATTAAATTTACTGGGTTTTGTTTTGTTCTGTTTTGTTTGTGGTGCTGGGGTTTGAACCTGGGGTTTTGTACATGCTAGGGAAAGTGTTCCACTACGGAACTACATACCCAGCTAAATCTGTTATATTTTAGGATCAATGAGATTAAAATACCTGAAGTTCTGTTTTTAGATCTAAAAGGCAAACAGAGCTATATTTTCTTTCAAGTGGACAGTTCTTGAGGACCACATCCTGACACTGCATGACACAGCTCTCCTTTGTTTCTTCCTGAAATCTCTCTGCCATCCAAAGTCCTCTGAGAGGAGCTCACAGGTCACTGGGCAGATGCTGGAATGCCTACATGTAGCTGTGGACAATAACATATACCTTAGAGTGGCACACTTGTTCAGAGTAGCCTCTTGGTAGTAACCCTCATTTTATTGTAATTTCCTTTGTACCACAGAAACATGAAATCAGATTGAAGAAGTCAAGAAACAGCCATGCAGGCATGCTTACCCACACTTTCTCTAGACCCTTTGCAGAGATTTTCATCTCAGAAACCTTAGAAGCACTGAATACTGCAGGACTGGGGAAGAGTTTTTGAAAATACTCAGTGTTTCAAATCTCAATTTTGCCAGTTGCATTGTGAGCTCAGGCAGCTACCCTGTCTTGAATAATCAATCTCCTCACATGTCAAGGTGGGAAAATGTTTTTTTTTTTTTTTTAAACTCTCAGGGAAGCCATGAGAATTAAATGAGAAATATGTATTACTTAGCACAGTACCTGGTATAAAATATGTGCTCAAAAAATGAGAGTTGTCTCCAAATAGAGGTGTGAGGCATAGTTAAACTTCATTACGATGAACCTAACAACTCAGTATACTAATTCTGTAGTGTCCATAATTGCAAAAAGGTCATAATTTCTATGCCAGAAAAAGTATTTGGAAGCAATGATTTAAAACAAATTAACAATTATTTTTGGATAAAATTACAACTTTATGTCAAAGTTTACTCATTTGAAAAACATTTCTTTCTTAAATTTGGAGACTAATATGTCTAAAACCACCTTTTTTTAATTTTACTGACAGCTTCTTGTTTCACTGAGTCAGTAAATGTTTTAAAATCCTATTGAGTTTTAATAACCATGGCATAATTTTTATCTCTCACTGAGTTACAATCCACTTAATAAGACACTCGTGATAGAAGCATGTCTGTTGAGAAAAGTGGAGCCTGGACAAGATGTAGACTTTTTTTTTTTTTTTCCCCATGGTAGCTGGCACACCAAGCCAAGGTGTGGGGTGAGGAGACAACCAGTGAAATATCTAAGACAGGCAGAAATGGTAAAGAATGAGAGGGATTAGTGAGGCCCTAACTTAAAAGACCCTGTCTCAAACAAAACACACATAAAAAAGGAAAACACCGGGGATGTAGCTTAGTGGTTAAGCACCCCTGGTTTCAATGCCTGTTACAGTAAACAAAAACAAAAACAAAAAACCAAAGGGATCCCAGAATGAGTGGAGCCAGGAGTCACTAGTAGTTGGTGATCAAGGAAGCCGGGAACCTGGAGTCTTGATGCTATTCTGTCCTGTCATAGATGACCAGCCTAGTTGCTCTGTTTAGAAGGGGGAAGATTTTGCTTTCAAAGCTTAGTGGAACAAGGTAGGAAAATCTTATATTCCTAAAATTAAAAGGAATTGTGGTTCTTGGGGTGAGATTCCCTTTTGTGGCATTTAAGGATGGCTTGCAGTTGAATTCAAACACTGTGGTCCTGCATTTCAGCTTTAACAGAGAGAACAGAAAATCTGGAGCTCTTTTGGGCAATCTGCTGGGAGTCTGTACACATTCTTTCCTGGCACCCCCACTGCATTGTCCATGGTCTGTGGTGTACGGCCTGCCATCACTATAGCATTCTGGCTCCTGTGGGATTCTCTGGTTACTGTGCAGCAACTTAACATGTGGGCAGTCCAGAGGTACCCAAGAATTTATCTCCATGGTGGAAACTTCAGGATTTGGTCCTCTTTCATTGTAGAAGAGTAAGGTATAAAGGGTATTTTGAACTGTTCTGATTAAAGTGTTATCTGAAAACAGGAAAATGAGGAAAGCTCCCTTCTTCATGGAGGATAGGACATAAAAGAAAGTTTCTTTAGAATAAAGAACTTCCAACATGATGTGTTCCTATGACTGCCCACCATCAGGAGTCCCGAGTTTTGCTTTTTTCCACCTCAGTGCATAGAGCAAGGCTTCCTTTCCAACCCTGAGTGTGTGTGTGGGAGGAGGGACAGCACACCTCAGATTTAATACTTATTTTGAACCTCTTTACCCAGTTATTGACTTCTATTTAGTTTTAAATATAATATAAATAACTTTGACCTATTAGGGCTATATTTACTGCCAATATTAACATTTAAAATACTTGAGATTGTACATAGTTTAATTAGTATATGATTAAATGTCATCAGTTATAAGTGAATTTAAAAAACAATTGAATGCTTAAGAAGAGAGTTTATATTTATATCCCTCTCCAACCCTCCCTCTCCTTTGCCTCTCCTTTTTCCATACCCCCCTCACTCGTTAGGGATCAGCATCAACTAATCAGAGAGAACATTCTTTGGTTTTTTGAGATTGGCTTACTTCACTTAGCATGATACTCTCCAACTCCATACATTTACCTGCAAATGCCATACTTTTATTCTCTTTTAATTCCATTGTGTATATATACCACAGTTTCATTATCTATTCATCTATTGAAGGGCATCTTGGTTGCTTCTACAGTGTATCTATTGTGAATTGAGATGCTATAAACATTGATGTGGCTGCATTACTATACTATGCTAATTTTAAGTCCTTTGGAGTGGGATAGCTGGGTTAAACGGTGGTTCCATTCCAAGTTTTCTAAGGAACCTCCATTCTGCTTTCCATATTGGTTACACCAGTTTGCAGTCCTACCAGCAGTGAGTGTGCCTTTTGCCTCTGATCCTCACCAACACTTATTGTTGTCTGTATTTTTGATAACTGCCATTCTGACTAGAGTGAGATGAAATCTTAGTTTTGATTTGCATTTTTCTAATTACTAGAGATGTTGAACAATTTTTCACATATTTGTTGATTGAATGTATATCATGTTCTGAGAAGTGTCTGTTCAGCTCCTTAGCCCGTTTATTAATATATTTTCCAGAAATATAGATTGTTTGTTTTTTTGGTGTTAAGTTTTTTGAGTTCTTTATATATCCTGGAAGTTAGAGCTCTGACTTGTGGGTGGCAAAAATTTGCTCCCAAAATGTAGGCTCTCTCTTCACATCATTGTTTGTTTCTTTTGCTGAGAAGAAGCTTTTTAGTTTGAGTCCATCCCATTTCTTAATTCTTGATTTTATTTATTGTGCTCTAGGAGTCTTGTTAAGGAAGTCAGGGCCTATATCGATGTGATGAAGATTTGGGCCTACTTTCTCCTCTATTAGGCACAGGGTCTCTGGTCTAATTTCTAGGGCCTTGATCTACTTTGAGTTGAATTTTTTGTATGGTGAGAGATAGGGGTTTATTTTCATTTTGGTGCATATGGATTTCCAGTTTTCCCAGCACCATTTGTTTAAGAGGCTATCTTTTCCCCAATGTGTGTTTTTGGCTAGTATAATTGTATTTATGTGGGTTTGTTTCCGTGTCTTCTATTCTGTACCATTGTTCTACCTGTCTATTTTGGTGCCAATACGATGCTGTTTTGTTACTATAGCTTTTTAGTATAGTTTAATTTATGTATCTGAATGGATTTCTAAAATTTTGCCAGTCACTAAAGTGTGAAACGTGGTTCACATGACTATTTCATGAATATATTTAGTCCTTTTATGGCAATTTTGAAGAAGAAATTGAAAGACTAATTGGAGGCCACAAACATTGACTAACAGTCAAGAGAGCCAATAAACATATCCATGTGATATTTATAAACAAAGCAATATAAGTAGATATTGTCTATTCATGGGTGTATATGAATGATTATATATGTACTTACGTGTGCTTTTATTTACACATATGTTCATTATACTTAGACTATGTTTATGAGGCTCTTTTTTGGGCACATAGGTTCACAGTATACAGATACATGATAAATTCATCAGAGATAGTCAACCCAAATCAAAACCTGTCCCTGATAAGAAAAATAAAAAACTGCTCTGTGGAAAGTGCAAAACCTTGGCATGTTACACGGCTGATGTACGCGTGGTAGAGGTAAGCAGCCTTTTATAAGAGCACCTGGTTGATTTTTAGCATAAGTTAAAACTTGATGAAATATTTATGTTAAGATTACTATTTCTTTCTGCTATGGTTCATGTATTAAAAAATACAACATCCTGCTCATGTGGTAGCTATAACCGTTGATATAGTAGAGAGACTAGTGGTCATTGTGGGCTAGGAAGGGTAGTGAGGAGGAGCAGAAGAGGCTAGATAACAGGTGCAAAGTATAGTCAGGAGGAATACATTCTGTTGTTCTGCAGTATAGTAGGGTGGCTATAGTGGACAACAATTTATTAAATATTTCATAAATCTTTTTTACAACAAAGCAATGATACATGTTTTAAGGAGATGAAAATGCAAATTACCCTAATTTGACAATTATACATTGTACTCATGTGTTGAATTATCTCACTGTGCCCCATAAATACAGTTGTTGTGTGTCAAGGTAAAAATTACTGTCTTTTAAATATTATGAAGCTCTTCAGAATAATGGTTGTGCTAAATGCAGTGTAGTCTCAAGTAGATCCTAGAATAAAGAATTTTAGTAGAAAATCTGTAGTTTAGCTAACAGCAATATACGGATATTAGTTTCTTAGTTTTATGGTTTGTAATATGTTAGCATTTAGGGAAACTGGGTCAAAGGTATACAAAGAATTTTCTAGGAATTTTCTTGCAACTTTTCTCTAAGTCTAAAATTACCCCAAAGTAGAATTTTATTTAAAAATACGATTATGAAGCTTATGTAGTATAATAAAAGTGGAAAAAATAAACTGGATACAAAACTATAAATATGCTATTTTAAAAAATCTGTTTTTAGTTGTCAGTGGATCTTTATTTATTTATACGTGGTGCTGAGAATTGAACCCTTTGCTTCACGAACACGCTTGGCAAATGCTGTACCACTGAGCTACAACCCTAGCCCAATATGCTATTCTTATAGTTGCATGAAACAATAATACCATGGGGGGCGGGTACCTTTGTAAACAATATTAAAAGAAATATGCCAAAGTGTTATATTTTGATGATGAGGTTCTGTGACTATTTCCTTCCTACGATTTTATTTTCTAAACTTTATGGGATATGGAACACTTTTCCAATGAAAACAAAATGTTCCTTTTCGAATGTGACACTTGCAAGTCGACCTTCTGTTTTTTTATTGTTGTTTTTTTCCTTATAAATAAGGGATTAGAAAAATCTCCAGACAGGGCTGGGGTTGTGACTCAGTGGTAGAGCACTTGCCAAGCATGTGTGAGGCACATGGGTTCGAATTTCAGCACAGTATATAAATAAGTGAATAATATAAAGGTACATCAACAACTAAAAATATATATAAAAGTAATTTTTAAAAAAATCTCCAAAGACAAACATTGAGTGTAACTTGCTGCTGATGGAGAGCAGGTCGAGTGGCTGGGCTAGTCAGGTGATGAGTTATTACTTGAGAGTTCCTTTTGGTCTTCAGAAAAGTAAACCTCATCAGCCCAACTGTTTGGGCGAGAAGCATATTATGAGTGATACTAAGTTCCCCTGCCTTTCTTTAGCTGTAAAAGGTCCTTTTAGCTTCAATTTTTTTTTGTGATTTTTTTTTCCTTGACAATGGCCATTTTAGAGTTTATATTCCTGGAAGGCTAGATGTTGGAGTTGCATTTGTTTCTGTGCAGTTTATTGTAAAGCTGACTGCATGAGTGGCCGATGGACATACCGTCCATGGTGTTCTCTGGGGCACACTGATCCTTTGCTGTTGTTCCATGTGTCCTTCGGATTGTGCCTGTCCTTTCATGGACCAATTTAACACTCCACAGATCTTCAACAACTATGTCTTTTGTTTCTGAACTCAGAATATGAACTTTTAGGGGGTAGATTTCCTGGAAATTTCTTAATCTTCCTTTTCATGAGGTACCCAGTAGCACTTAATTTGAGGCCTAATGTGACCTTCAGGTGATTCCTTTTCCAAACTGTGAAATAAGTGGGATTCCATCTGCTCTTCATCTCAGATTATTGTGGAGTATTTTATCTTAAATCACAATTATGGATTGCTTCTAACATTTTCTGTATTGTTCCAACTATTCATCTTAGACATGCCATTACACTGTGGTTGGAGATGATTTTAAGGAACGCTTTGTGAGGAAACCACACCCCAGACCGAAGAACTATGGGGGTTTTGAAAAGAAAGCAAAGATATTCTGTGCCAAAGAGAGCTGCAGACATGACTGGGGAATCCACGTGAAGTATAAGGAATTTGAGATTCCAGTCATAAAAATTGAAAGTTTTGTAGTGGAAGATATTGCAACTGGAGTTCAAACACGGTACTCAAAGTGGAAAGATTTTCATTTTGAGAAGATACAGTTTGATGCTGCAGAATATCCAAATGACTTCAGGGCCTGAGTCTTTAGCTACAGGGAATGGTGAGTGAAGAAATTAACCCTGTGGGTAATCACCCATTGCTTGTGCCTCTATGAAGGTATTTTACACAAGGCTTATACTGTATTGCTCACTCTCAGTTAACTTCACCTTCTGTTGGTTTTGAACAGTTTGTACTACATCATATATGCAAAACACATGTGAGTGAATTCTCATACATTGCTGGTGGGACTGCAAATAGGCACAACCACTATGGAAAGCAGTATGGAGATTCCTCAGAAAACTTGGAATAGAACCACCATTTGACCCAGCTATCCCACTCCTCAGTCTACACCCAAAGGACTGAAAATCAGCATACTACAGTGATGCAGCCACATCAATGTTTATAGCAGCTCAATTCACAATAGCTAACCTATGGAACCAACCTAGGTGTCCTTCAGTTGATGAATGGATAAAGAAAATGTGATATATTAAAGAAGTATGAAATTATGGCATTTACACTAAATGGATGGAGTTGGAGAATATCATGCTAAGCAACATAAGCCAATCCTGAAAAACCAAAGGTCAGATGTTTTCTTAAATATGTAGATGCTAATTCACAATAAGGTGGGGGACACTAGAGAAGAATAGCATTACCTTAGATTAGGTAGAGGGAAGGGAAGGGAGGGAAGAGAAGGGGATGTGGGATAGCAAAGATAGTAGAACGAAATAGATATTATTATTTTATGTATATATGTGACTGCATGACCAATATGATTCTACAATATGTACACTCAGAAAAATGAGAAATTATATCCCATCTATGTATATCAAAGTGCATAAATGCATTATACTGTCATGTATAACTAATTAAAACAAAGAAATCTAAAACAAATTTGGTTCTATCTTTTTCAGAACCACTGCCAATGCATATAATGTACCAATGCCATACACACTGAGCTAAATAAATGAATAGGATGCTGAAAGGTTTTCCATACCTCTATCCCCATTTCCCTAACCATTGTAAACTGGCTTTTCCCCTTAATCTGCTGTTCTTTTCAAGGCTGCCAGTGACTCTGGTTGCCAAATCACACGGCCATTTCTTAGTCCTTTTGACTTCTTTGTTGCATTTGGCTGTCGTATTCTTTTCTTGAAAATTTCCCTTGGCTTCTGCCTTTCTATTTTTTTTTTTATAAAAATAAAAGCATTTTTATTGCATCTTCTTTGCTGATACCTTAAGTGTAGATAATTCCAAGGGTTCAGTATATACCTACACAAGTACAAGTTACATATCCTCATGTTTTCTTAATAGCAATGTGTGGCATGGTTGGTAATCATAAAATTCTATAGTAGTCCATTTTTTAGTGGTGAGGGCACATCAGGGATACAATGCTTCCTAAGAAGTTGTTTACTTGCTCGTTTAATTTGTTCTCTTAACTCATGCCATTCTTCCCTTGGAATAGTCATCTCAAGCCATTTTTCATTAATAGAGATTAATGCTTAACACTTGGTTTATCTGTCCTCAGTTAAGCCCTTTGGTTGCTACTATGGAAATGGTTCAATTTTGCTGTTCTTGTTACTTTAAAAAATTAGAATATGTACTGAAATAGCATTTCTGTGTCTTTTAGCAAGGTTTGCTGATGCTTCAAAGAGCTTAGTTTGGGGTTTTCCAGACATGGTAACAGTGCCTGGGTTTATTTTATTTTTGTCTTGTGTTTAGTTCTGGGTAGGATCTCTAGTAATTTAAGTATCACCCCAAAACAGATTCAGATTGGTTGGTTGTTGTTCATTACGACCATTAAATGACCTAAACAAAATTCCAGAGAGCACAAAAGGTTAGTAATATGTTCAGCACATGTGATGACATGACCTTTTCAAGTAAGACATATTTATATCTGAAGGCTATTTGGAAATTACCCAGATGAACCCTGGAGATTAATAGGATAACACATTACAGCAGCTTTACTTTCCATTTCAGCAGAGTGCTGGCAAGTAGTCAAGTAAACTTGCCAGTTACATAGGCTCTTTGTAAAACAAGGATAACCCCAAACTGTCAGGGTTAGTGGACAGCTTTTAATTAAAATATAAGAAAAGTACACCACACACATACACACACACACACACACACACACACACAATAATTAATTGCTTAACAATGGTTACTATAATAGTATTCTTAGATACAATAAAATTAAAACAATTTGTTGAGAGCTGATTTTTTCATTTTTCACTATTAGGATCTTTATATGTAATTACTATTCTTTGATATTACTATTTAGGAACTTCTACATTAAACATCTACTAGAAATGTCATTCAGAAGAGAAAAACGCTTTTAACATTTAATTTAGATGGAAGGCAAATAGTCCTCTCTTCAGACTAAAGCTGAAACAAAAACTTAGAATTTCCTCATTTGACTTTCATATGGAATCAAGCCATTGTCAGGCATAGACCTGAGAACAGAATAGGCACTTGGTTAATATGTACTGAATGAAGAAATAGGTCATTGCTGTCATTGGATTTCTTGATCAAAGGCTGCATTTGAGAGCTAACCAGGGAGTCTTTTTCATGGACATAATCCCAGTCCCCAATATAGTGTCCTAGCAGGGTGTCTAGCCATGTGTGTTTCTGTAAGTTCTTCAGGTGGTTCAGATAAACCTGTTCTACCACCTTGTTATCTCCATGGTTCTAGCTGGTGCTGACACTATGATGCTTTCACCCTGAAATGGAATCTTTCAAAGCCCTGATTGTGCAACAACGTCAGTAAACTGATTCCTGTACTTAAAACAGATTCTATATTAACTGAATTTCAAATAACAAAGCAGAAGCCAGTATTTCCTCAGGTGCATTCTGTAGAACACAGTGCCATGAGATTCTCTGAAGAATGTATTCTATGGTCAGGTAGGTTTCTGACCATTTGTTGCCACCCTTTCCCTCAGTGACCTACAACATACACTGTCATTGTCACTGTCAATTCTTTAATAATTAAGACCTATCTAACACTGTGTCTCCCAAATACACTGACTCTGAAACCATAATGTCACATATCAAGAAATAATGAAACTTGAGCAGGACAGTGGAATGTGAATTTCCATGCTTGTCCTCCCACAAAAACATCCATTTGAACAACTGTCCACACACAAAAACACTGTCCTAAGAGCTAAGGCTACCAAGTGGGATATTTACATCACCTAGACGTGGCACAGAAGTACAGATGCACTGAAAAAGGTTAAGAAGTGCTTTACCTCACCTGTGCCACTTCTCCCTCAATCTTAGGCAGCATAGTGCGAGGTACCCTAAGCTTGGGGCTAGGGAAGGGAAGTGAGCACTGGCTTTGCCTTGGACTCCAACACTAGGCTTGCCAAAGCAAAACCCAGTGCAGGGCAGGGCTGTGTCCCAGACTCAAAGCTTGTCTGGTAGACTGTTTCTAGGCCAATTCCCATGCCATTCATTCTGGTTCCAGGCCCACCTCAGAGTCAGGCTGGCCCTAGCACCAGACTAGCATCATAATTGCATGTCTTAGCCCTGCTGACCTGCAGTGCTGCACATGAAGCTGGCTCCAGCAGACCCTAGTGGGGACAAGCTGCACTCTAGGACTGACCCTGTGAACTCAGTTCCAGAACAGTCCTCATGGACCCAGTTTCCATGCCAACCCTGCCTAGTGATTTTAGGCATCAAGTCAGTACCCACAATTCCAGGCCTCACTCATGTCCTGGCACCAGCCAACCCCTGTGGCTCAAGGCTCCAGTGGAGCCAGCATCTAGACCTACTTGAGAAAAGTGGTGCAGATTCTAGGATTACCCCTGTAGATGTAGGGCTCCAACCAGTCAGCATACTACAGTGATTCAGGCTCAAGGATTCAGGCTCAAGGCTCACCTCAGGTCCAGTTTAACTCCTGTGGACAGGGGCCAATTCTTGCAGTCCTGCTGAATAGAACTATTCCAGTGGACCCACACTTTGAATCCAACCTGACTCATCTGTCTGCTGATCTATAGATACCAGATCTAATCAGTCAAGGACTCCAGTAGCAATCCCACCCACAGACCACTCTAGATAGCCTACCCAGAATCTCTAAATGGGTTAACCAGTGAAGGGCTTTCCCACTTAAAGCCAGCCCACAAAACTAGAATAAGACCTTTTTGAAATGTGCAGATACCAAGGCATGGCTATAAGTATTAAGAACAATTAGGGAAACAGAACCCCACCAAAGAACAAAATAAAGCCAATCACTGACATCACGAGACTAGAGATTTATGATCTGTCTGATAAATAATTCAAAATGACCGTTTTAAGGAAGCTTGGCAAACTTCAAGAAAACAGACAATTCAATGGGATCAGGAAGACTGTAATAAATGACTAAAATGAGAATTTTAAGATATTGCATTTTTTTTTTAGAAAATCAAATTCTAGAGATGAAAACATGATGAATGAAAAGCACAATAGTGTCCATAGCAAGGACAATCCAGCAGAAGGAACACCTGTGAACCTGAAGATGGGTTATTTGAAAATATATAGAAGAAAGAAAAATTAAATGAACAAAAAGAAAACTTATGGGATTTATCTGACAGTATCAAAAGAAACATAAGAATTCAAAAAGAATGCAGAAAACTCCAAATCTGGGGAAAGAGACAAAAATATAGGTCTCCAATCAGAGTCAGTCCAAACAAGAAAACACCAAGGCATTATAATTAAACTGTTAAAAGTCAAAGATAAAGAAGAGCCTATAAAAGGGAAGCAAAGCATATATAAGGGAGTTCTGCTAAAGCTAGCAGCAGATTTTTTTCAACATATAATTGAGAGTGCTGGGGAGAAAAAAGAAGGGAAAAAAATAAATGAAACCAAAATCAACCGAACCAAAAAACCCCCAAGAATATTGTACCTGGCAAAACTCTCCTTCAGACAAAAATTAAGGAAGTTCATTTAAAGAATATCAGTTCTTAACAATTTCAAAAAATTGAAGAGGAAGTATTTCCAAACTCATTTTATGAGCCTAGCTAGCATTATCCTAATACCAAAGGCAGACAAGGATACTGTAAGAAAATTATAGGCACATAAGCATATATGCAAAAAATTTTTAACAAACCAAATAGTATGTTCAGAGAACTCTTCATGTTGAAGTAGGTAGGATACATCCATTGGTTGCCAGAATAGTTCAGCATATTCCAGTGTATATACTATATTAACAAAAGGGACAAAAGCCATAAAATCACCTCACTAGAGGTTTAAAAATCTGACAAAATTCAATATTCTTTCATGAGAAAAATTCTGAAGAAATTAGGATTGAAGTAATTTACCTCATGCAGGCCATATCTGACAAACACACAGATGACATCATACTCAGTGGGGAAAAGTTGAAAGCTTTTCCTCTCAGGAAGAAGACAAAAGATGTCAACTCTTATCATTTGTATTCAATGCAGCACTGAAAGTCATAGAGCAATTAGGTCAGAGAAATAAAAGGCATCTAAATTATAAAGAAAAAAAACTGTTTGCAGATAACATGATTTTATATGTGGAAAATGCTAAAAACTCCATGTTAAAAAAACTTATAATAAACAAATTCAGTAAAGCTGCAGGATACAAAAAATCACCACAAAAATTAGTAGTATTTCTACAAATTAAAAATGAACTATCTATAAAAAGGAGTAAACCATTCTATATGTAACAGGTACAAAATAGTGCTTAGAAATACTTATACACTGAAAACAAACACTAATGAAAGAACTGAAGATGGTATCAAAAAGTGAAAAGATATCCCATGTTCTTTCAGTGGAACAATTAATGTTAAAACGTTCACACTATCCAAAGCAATCTACAGATTCACTGCAATTCCTATCAAATTTCCAATGTTTTTCACAGAAATGAAAACAAGTCTGAAACTTATAGGGAATCACAAAAAAACTCCATATAGTCATTCACCTTGAACAAAAAGAAGAGAACAGAGTGAATTACCTTGTCTGCCTTCAAAATACATTACAAAACTACAGCAATCAAAATAGCATAGTACTGGCATAAAAACAGACCATTGGAAAAGAAGAGACACCCAAGAAATGAAGCCACTCATGTATGGCCAATTGATTCCTGACAAAGGAGACAGGAACACATAATGGCAAACAAACAGTTTCTTCAATAATGGTGTTGGGAAAACAGGATAGCTACATGAAAAAGAATGACATTAAACCCTTATTTCATACCACGTATAAAAATCAACTTGAGATGGATTAAAAACTTCAACATAAGACCTGACATTGTAGATCATAATAGATGAAAACACAGAGGAAAAACTCCATGACATTGGTCTAGGCAATGATTTTTTTTTTATATGACCCCAAAGCAAAAGCAACAAAATTTAAAAGAGACAAACAGGACTGCATCAAAATTAAAAAGCTTCTGTAGCCAGGCAAACAGTAAAAAGACAACCTACAGAACAAGAGGAAATATGTGCAAACCATACATTTGATAAGTGGTTAATAACCAGAATATATAAAGAATTAAAACTCAATAACAAAAAACCAAGTAATTAAAAAATGAGCAAAGGACCTGAATAAGCATTTCTCAAAAGCAGCACATACATGGCCATTGTGGAAAAGAAAAAATGCTTAACAATATTATCATGGAACTTAAAATCAAAACTACAAGATGGCCACTCCAGACCTGTTACAATGGTCATCAACACTTACCTTTCATCATGAAAGTTAAGTGTTGGTGAGGATGTGGAGGAAAGGGAACACTGCACACTGTTGATAGGAATGTAAATTAGCATAGCCATTATGGGAAACTTTATGGAGACCTCAAAAAGCTAAAATGATCACTATATGATCCAGCAATCCCATTTCTGGGAATATATCCAAAGAAAATTAAATCAGTATGTTCAAGAGATATCTATGCTCCTGTGTTTACTGCAGCATTATTCACATTAGCCACAATATGGAATCAGTCAAAGTACCCATCAATGGATGAATGGAGAAAGAAAATGTGATATGTATTCATATACATACATAATGAATGCTATTCAACTTGAAAAAATAAAGTCTTTTAACTTGCAACAATATGGATGAACCTGGAGGACACTATGTTAAGTTAAATAAGTCAGTACAGCAAGATAAGTACCACATGATCTTTCTTATGTATGGAATCTAATGTTAAATTCAAAGAAGTAAAGAATAGAAAGGTAATTAACAAGGGTAGTCAGATGTCAAAAGATACAAAATTTCATTTGGGAGGAATAAGTTCAAAAGCTCCATTGTACAACATGGTGATCATAGTTAATATATTCTTGGAAATCACTAAGTATTCTCACTACAAAAAATATGCAAGGCAATACATAGGTTAATAAGCTCTATTTAGCCATTCTACAATGTTTATGCATTTTTAAAACATATATAGTAAACACATAATTTTCACTTGTCAATTAAAATTTTTTAAGATACAAAGAAAAAAATTCAAAACACATTCCACTTTAATCAATAACAGAAGCACTGGCTGGATTGGAGCCAAGGCTCGGCTCTTTAGCTCTCTGGTTCTCACGAGATAGGGAACCCCAAAGGCACAGGTGAGCAGGCCCACAACATGAGAGGGTAAGAGGCAGCAGGCTGGCTTCCAGAGGGGGGAGAGAGAAAGAGAACAGACAGGGAGGGAATTAAAGAAATTTACACCTGATCTACAAATTGCTAAGATTTGGAAGTCCCATACATTCCAGATGTTAACTGTCAGCCGTTTAGAAAATCAGCTTTGAAATCTTGGCACTTCTATATATTAGACTTGTAAATTATTATTTAGCCTCCCTGATAACTACAGTGGAACCACTAATACTTTTCCTATATTGCTAACATATATTAAAATGTGAACTTATTACAAGATTAACTATAAGATACCTTGTCATGAACTGAATGTTTGTGCCCTCCCAAAATTCATATGTTGAAGCCCTAACCCCAATGGTAGTGTGGAAATAGCAACTCTTAAGAAAAATAATTTAAACTTAATTAATATTAAATGAGGTCATAAGGATGGGACTGTTATCTTATATAATTAGTGTTCTTCTAAAACACCAGAAAGACAATCCTCTCCCTTTCCTTCTTGTGCATATCAAGGAAAAGTCACCTATAAGTCTTGACCTACAAGGTCAAGAGAATGCTCACCACAAATTGAAGGAGCTAGAATCTTGATTTCCCAGGTTTCAGAACTGCAAGAATATCAATTTCTGCTGATTGTCACTCAGTCTGTAGCATTTTGTTATGGCTGCCCATGCAGACTAAGACATGCCCTGAAATGGATTTAGTGATACAAGTGAGCAAATAAACTCTAAAGCTAATCTGCCCACTATTCTCAACATCCTTGCTACTGCTACCAGGTACTAGGCTACTCTTCCTTCATCTGCTGCTCCCAAACAGGGCAGGCAATGTAGTAGTTCCTCAACACTTCTTCTGTATCTGCACAGTCCAGAGGTATGTTTAGAAATAGGAGAACATGAAAGTCATTCAGACTTCAGGATGAAAGTGCTTTAAATATTGTAAAACTGGATTTCAAAGTCAACAAATTTTCCATGAAAATATATTTAATCTTATTCAAATCAGAAGTGTTCTATGTCTCCCAATCCATCTCCAAACAAAGGTCTCCTTGACAGATAAAATGTTTCCTGGGGAAAATTTCTCAACATAATAAAGAAAAATTTTTACTGTTATGTGGATCCATCTAAAGGTACATCATCAAAAAATTCAACGTTTGACCTGACCATGAGGCATCTGGATTACTCACTCTGAAGGGGGATCACAATCACTACCATGATTTGAAGGGTGAAAAAGTTCTTACCTACCTATGCCAATTAACACTGGTATAAATTGCAAAGGAACAGAACCCTTAAAAGAAGGGTTTCACTGAGCAGAGGAAAACAGAAAAGCAAGGGAAGGGTAGGAGGGAAAACAGGGTAGGAGACACCTTCCGAGAAGACTTGCTAGTGCTTAGCTGAAAATTAATAGGGAAGAGTGAAAAAAAATCAATGTCACTGATTTAAAGACAGGCTGGTTCTCTTTCTGCATTACTGATCTTCCCATGATTACAGCTTCCAAATTCTAGAAAAAGATTCAAAGATTAACAATAACAGAGAATGTAGAAACTTGGCTTTGTGCCTCCAGGAATGGCACCCAAAATGCAGTGTTTACTTGCTGTCTGCAAAGAAGTTTCTCCACTAGGGCCCCAGCTGGCTGGGATCCCATGGGGTGCAGCACCTAGTGTGGATCTTCTAAGAAACAAGGGCCTGCCTGGCCATCTTGCGTATCATGTAGTTGAGGATGCCTCCGTTGTGGAAATAAGTAAGCTCCACATCAGTGTCGAACCTCATGACAGCCTGGAAGGTCTTTCCAGTATCCAGCTATAATGAAAAAGAAGCAGAGAAGAATCGCTGAGGAAGAAGGTGAGACACCTGTCTTAGGGATTCTGTCCAGTCTCCCCTTAGTCTCCCACTTAAGGTGTGGTTCACATTCCGGTGCATTTAGGAACAGATGGTCTCTTCCCCCATCCTGGACAGTGATCAGAACCTGTATTTTGACAAGACCCTGGGAGATTGCTCTGTCCACTAAACTTTGAGAAGCACTGCACTGAAGAGTATAAATGATGGAAGTGAGAGGCAACTGAGAACTAGAACAGCTTCTAAGGGCTGTAGCCACTAGTGACAATGGAATGGTATTTTCTAAACCTTCTTTGGGGTCTTCTTGTGGACAGAAGTGTCTCAGCATCAGAGGTTTCACTGAGGTTGTCCTTTACTACCTCTCTCCTACCAGGGTGCTAAGTCACCCTGGGATGTTAGTGCTGGCAATTCACCCTTATCTAAAGAGGTAGGATTGGAATTGATGAATCATTCTATAAACAGAAATAAACAATATATCAACAGGTATTATCCTTGGTATGCTGTGAAGGCAGGTGGGAAAGGTGTCAGTTGGACTCTGAGTCTAATGTAGTCCTGAGTGACTTTTATTTTTCCCTCTCAAACCCCATTCATTTCCTTCACTGGGTGTGGTGGCACATGCCTGTAATCCCATCAGCTTGGGAAGTGCAGGCAGGACGATGGCAAGTTCAAAGCCAGCCTCAGCAAAAGTAAGGCACTACGCAACTCAGTGAGACCCTGTCTCTAAATAAAATACAAAATAGGGCTGGGGATGTAGCTTAGTGGTCGAGTGCCTGAGTTCAATACTGGGTACCTCCCAACCCTGCAAAAGAAAATTGTCTAAAAGGGCCCTTCAAAATGCATCCTAGTGTAGAGAAAGTCCGGCTTACCTTAACCTGGACTTTCATTTGTGGTTTGAGGTTCTCTGGAATGACAATAGTGTATCGTTCCCGTCCTGTGAGTCCCAGGGTGTCTGCATTCTCACCAGGGAGATATTCAAGGGGGATCACTCCCATTCCAACCAAGTTACTGCGGTGAATGCGCTCATAACTTTCAGCTAAAACAGCTTTGATTCCCTGATGAACAAAGAGAATAAGTTGGACACAGTCCCAATTTTTTTTTTTTAGGCATACAGAAACTTTTCAAAACGCTTAAGTCAAACTGTTCTCACAGCTAAAATCTCTCTAAATACTTGATAATATTTCACTTAAAATATCCTAACATTAATTAGAAATATAGTAGCAAGTCTTACCAGATTACCTATAGTGTAAGCACTGACATGAATTCTCTCATTCCACCCTCCACCAAATGGGGCACAGCAGATGCTACCATTCTGCCCCTTTACCAGGTATTCAGTGTTAGGATCTGGTATTTGAACCTATGTGGTCGGACTCCGCACTTAGCCACTCTGAGATCCAAGATCTCTTAGCAAACTTCCATTATATCCAGAACTCATACCCTGAATTTTTCTATTATTATAGGTTTATCAGCAAATACAGAAGGTTTAACCAAAAAAGAAACTTTCTGAATATATTATGAAATAAATGATTACTACTTGTATACTTCCTGTTTCAAGGATGAAACTGATTGAATACAGTCTTGATATTAAGCTTCCTATAAAGGACATTTTTTTTGATAAAGTGTAATTGGTCGTACGTATATAGCAATAGTCAACAAAACAGGGTACCTGACTACCTAGAATTCTCCATTAATTATTAATAGTTGATGTTAATTATACTATTGAGGTACTCTAAAAGGTACCTTGGTATTTAGCGCACACCTTTGAGACACCACAGACTGAGTGACAATCAGCAGAAATTGATATTCTTACAGTTCTGAATCCTGGGAAGTCAAGGTTCTAGCTCCTTCAGTTTGTGGTGAGCACTTTCTTGACCTTGTACGTCAAGACTTACAGGTGAAGTTTCCTTGATATGCACCAGAAGAAGGAGAGGGAGAGGATTGTCTTTCTGTTGTAATTGTACAGGATAACAGTCTCATCCTTAAGACTTCAATTTAATATTAATTAAGTTTAAACATTTTCTTAAGAGTTGTTATTTCCATACTACCACGGGGGATTAGGGCTTCAATCAAATATATCATACTTAGGGAGTTTATTAAAAATTTTTAGTATAAAAAATTAAATATTCTTGAATATTTAACCAGGTCTACTGAATCAGAATGTCTTGTGTATGGTGGGAGGAACCAGTGACTTTTATGTGCTGGAGAACCATGGCCATAGAACAGTAGTTCTCCATTTGATTTCTTCCCCATTCGTGAAAAATCCAGGGACATCTTAATAATCTGATATAGTCAGAAGTATGATTCAGAAATCTCCATTTAATTTTTTTTCTCCAAAAACAGTGATTCTCAAACTCTGTTGTATATCAATCTCCAGGGAAGACTTTTAAAATCTAGTGTCCAGGACTTTGTTCTTACCAATTAAACTAGAATTTCTGGGGATGAAACGTAAGACCAGGTGTTTTTTTTTTTCTTTTTCTTTTTTTAATATTTTCTTTAGTTGTTGAAGGATCTTCATTTTATTTATTTATTTACACGTGGTGCTGAGAATTAAACTCCGGGCCCCACACATTCGTTAGGCAAGAGCTCTACTACTGAGCCACACACAACCCCAGTCCCTGTTTTTTTTTTTTTTTTTTTTTTTTTTAAAAAGAAAAAAAGGTTACAGATGTCTCCAATTTGAGAATCACTACCACAGAGGAAGGGAAGATTCTTTGGGGCAGTAGTTATTTTGTAGAGATTTTTGTACATTTGTATTTATTCTGGGGAAGAGGAAAGCCTTCTAAATACAAGGAGTCATGTCCCTAGCTCTGTGTAAATGGCTGTGCAGCAGGCACAGAGTTGGCAGCCATATGAGTGGCCCAGTTCGGACAGCAAGGACTCAGAGAAGTAGAGACTTTGGTGTCCCTTTGATGCTTTTATTCTCTTTTTATCCCTCTTCCCCACTTGTCTTCACTGCCCAGTTCTCATTTCTGCCATCAGCTCTCAACTCCCTCCCTAAAGTCTTTTTCTTTTTATAAAATTTATCTGGTTCATTTTAGCAGTTTCCAGCAAAGTCAGGCCTCTGACCTATTACCAACTAATCAGAAAACATTTTTTTCCCCTTAGAGCAAAATGATCAATAAAATAATAGGTGTGATGTTGGAAGACATTTGCAGAGGCCAGGCTAGCTAGAGGGCTGCTAGGCAGCCAGAGCTTTTTACTGTACTGTAGATATTGACTTGTATTTCCCAAGTGCATTGATTTTCTTGAGCTATAAATTATTTATATTAAGGTGAGCTAAGACATTTTTACTTGATCCTTAGGATTAAAGCCAGCAACACGGTTTTCCCCTGATTTCAGATCAAGAAAATACTCAAGAGGGAAAAGCTCTCTGCTTGGCCCACCCTATGGGGACACCTCAAACAAGGTGAACCCTGAATTTGCAGAAGGCTCTAGAGAGCTCTTCTCTCACTGAGATGAGAAGCAGACTTTCATAGGCAGTGAAAAAAAACTCTAAAATGTACACACTCCTAGTTTTTCCAAGAGACCTGGAGCCAGTTCTTGTCAAACCAACTTCTGAAAAAGCCCAGGTTCCTTAACATTTCCCTTCTGTGAACCTTACAATATCTGTGGCTTTTCCTTACATTCATCTGGGACAGTGGCCTTAAATAGATTTTAGGTCCCCAAGCTCTGAGAATGTTATGAAAACCATAGAACTTTTCCCTAAAAAATACAATCTGGATATAATGTCGGAGACTTAACAAACCTCCTCCCATTGATCTGTAGACAATGAATGTCTGACTTAAGGAAACCAGTTCAACTTTGTAATATTACTTTTCACTGAGCAAAATAAATCTAGATACACCAAAAGCAGAAGGTAAATAATCATTACATGTTTTCAGAGTTACTCTTCCATGCCATCTTGGAAAGCAAAGCAACAGAATTTATGCTTGGGCACCTTCCCAGCTTCTCTTCCAGTTTGGAGGGGCAGCTACTTCCTTGAATGTCTCTGCTTTATACTCACCAGCAGGAAAGGGCCCTTGGCAGCCCAGTCTCGGGAGCTACCTGAGCCATACTCTTTGCCAGCCAGAACAATTAGGGGAAGGCCTGCTTGTTGATACCGCTCAGCAGCATCAAATACATCAAGCTGAAAGAGAGAAAAGGAAAGTTTTACAGATGCAAAAGAGGCAAAAAGCATGGTTACAGGCCTAGTAAGCCCTGGAGTCACAGGGTCAGAGGGGTCTGAGAGAGCCAGGTCATAAAGCCAGTGCAGAACTCAAACAACTGGCTGTGTGGACTATAGCCCCCAATGAACTCAACCTATTTATTTCTATCACACTGAATTTTATATTTTTGACTTAAATGCCTACATGTTGTCCAGTTTTCTAAAAAAAAAAAAAAAAAAAAATTCAAATCCTAGGGCATGGGGTGGGGGGGAAGAAAACTAGATCAGCTTTTCTTCCCCTTTTTCCATTGACTAAACTATCTAAAAACTCAAAAACTAGAGAATACCCCCTATGCCTCAGTTTTGACTCAGTATCAGACCCAGAACTAATTAGTTATGAAGGGGAGAAAACAGTAGGTAACAGGCTCTATAAATCACATAAAATGCCAATTTTTGTTATTTTCTACTTGTAGGCCATGGGTAGAGATAGCATAAATATGGATGAAAGCATGAATCAATAAAGATCAGGGAAGGATTAGCTACATTCATACATGAAAAATATCTTAAACAGATTTGTTTCTCACAGCAATCTGAATATTCTGCTAAGATGAGACTTCACCAAGACATTTGGTATTACTATTGGTAACCAAGTAATGAAACAATTATTTTTCCTAGCTATGTAAGTCAGAAAATAAAATCCCTTAAAATGGAATGTATATCATTTCAAAGGAGCTCAAGACAAGCATTTAAAACTCTGAATAGGCTTTCCACAAATTAACTTGGTGGACTGATAAGAGTTAATTTTAAATCTGGGAAGATTCTATATATCTTCAGCTGAAGAGAACTCATGAACATAAAACCTGTTACAAAAGCACTAAATGCCTTCTTCTGTTTGGTCAGAATCCTTTCAGAGACCAGGAAGAAACAACCTACTATTTTCAGAGATATTAGTTTTGCATATTAAGAATGTGTTTTAAGAAGTGTCTGTTTAAAAAGTGCTTTTGAAACTAGAGAAAATGGGCAGGGAGATAGCTCAGTACTATAACACTTGCCTAGCATGCATGAGGATTAAGGGTTCAAACCTATCACTACATTTAAAAAACAAAAACAAATCCCCAGAAAACACCTATAGCAAAACTGAGGATTCCATGGCAAAGCAGTTCGTGTTACCCAAGAGCAGAGGGATTATGCAGGTCTGGAATTTGGGTACCCTGATGCTCCATCTTCCATGTACTCTCCCTTCTTGTCTAAACAAGTAATATGCCATTTCTTCTGTTACTGTGCTGTCTCTGCTTACTGTTTAAACTGCTAGTTCTTGTTTCTCCATCTGTCATCAGTTCCCTACTTTGCTCAAGAGGATTTAGTTCTCTTTACCACTGCCCTTGCCAATACACAACCTCTCACTATAGTTATGCCATAAATTTTGATAAGCAAATATTTGTTGTGTACATTATTACGATTATACAAATTCTGTTTGCAGCCGAGCCATGTAATGTATTATGATTTCTTCCTGGCAATTTTGACAACATTTCTACTGCAATTAGTTATTTTCCTTTTTTGGTGTGCTCAACCTGTGTCTATACTCCTACCCATTAACTAATCCTTAAACACTCAGCCTACAGCACAAACCATCTTTAATATATTGAAATATATCAGGCAATCTATCATTTTAAAATGTCACAGTGGCACCACTCCTGGAGCCCTTGGTCTGTATTAATCTAGACTGACTGCTCTGGATGCTCAGTGCATTCCTGTGACAGATAAGCTTCTTTCCCCACCATCCAGGGGATTCTCTTCAGCCCTTTTTCTTGGATCTTGCATCCCCCCCGCCCCCCGCCATTTTGGTGGAACACATTCACCAGGCAGCTTCAAGAGAGAAGGACTGAGGGATATCTTTTAAGCTTTTGGATCTCTGAATGTTACTGCCTTCAAATGCACTTGGCTGGCAATAATCATTTTCCTCCATCTAAGCTTCCAGTATTGCTATTTAGCAGCCTAGAGCACTTCTGATCCCATCATTGCATGTAAGCTGTTTTTCCCTTTCCAGAAGTTTCTAGACTTTTCTTTATCTCCGTTTTCTTGATTTCACAATGATGTGAATTAGAGTGGGTCTCTGTAAAGCACTGGTTAGGTATTCAGTGAATTTTTCAATCTGGATCCTCAGATACTTTAGTTGGGGAAAGTTCTTTATTGTCGTTACTCTGATAATTTCCTTCTATCTTGTTTGTTTTCTTTTTAGTACCTATAGTTAGTCAAATCTTGGGCCTCCAGAGTTCAGTTCTTAATTTTCTTCCATCTTCTAATTTTCTCTTTGTCATTCTGTTCTATATTCCAGGAGACTTTCTAAATTAATTATCTTTTCCTCTGATTTTTTTGAGTGACTGTTTTGTTTTTAATTCATTTCTCTGAAGAAGAGATTCTTTTTCTTAAAGTTTTCTATCTTTTGCAAGGTCTCTGTCCCCCTACAGCACCCTTCTTTGTATAGGTTGGTTTTTCAAGTTCAAATCTTGGTTCAAATGTCTGCTCTTCCCTGATTATATGTCCTTATTTGAAATGAGGCACTAAGCATCTAACTAGAAGTCAGTCCTACATCATGACAGAGTTACTCTGACATATTTTATTGTCCCTGCTCCCATCTTTCCCCTTAGTTTCTTGGGTATTCCATCATTTGTATCTACCTTTTCCACGTGATAGTTTACGATCCCTGCCACTCATTAAACAAGCATCTGCTAGCTTGTCCTGGTGAGGACCCAATTATCTCAAAATAAAGCACCTGCCTGACAAAAATATAGTCAGTTGTGAGTATAGAAGCATGTGAGGAAGTCAAGGGCACTGACTTTAGAGCCAATCCTTGGGTTTTAATCTCTAATTTTTTTTTTTTCACTGCAACCTTAGAGAGTTATTTGACCTCTCTATGCTCAGGTTCTCAATTTAAGTACAGATAATTATTACATCTGCCTTAAGAGCTAAATAAGTCCATATATGGAAAGGCTTATAAGAATACCCGTAATATAGCAAGTTCTGTAGAAATCTTGGCTGCTATTATTTTTAAATAAGTTGGCAAGGTTATTTCTCAAGCAGGCTAAACAGTTTACAAGCAGTTTCTCAGCATTCCCTAGGAAGGGGAATGACACTGAGGACCTACATCCTGTGGCAGACATTATGCCAGGTTTTACACATCATTCCATTTCATTTTAAGCCTCAAAATCGTATGAAACAGGTATGATTTCTACTTCACAGGTAAGAAAAGAGAAACTCAGAGAAGGAAACCACCCACCAAAGGATCCACATCTCATATGAGGTAGTGCAGGACTTAAGCCAGCTTCACATGGTTCAAGGTACAGGTTTCCCAGATGCTCACAGAACCCACATTGTAACACAAGCCTAGCTGGAATATACCAACTTCAAATGGCTTCCCTGATAACTAAGGCCTATAAGGGTCTCTGTATTCCTTGTTCTAGTAGATATAGTGCATTAAATGCTAATAAGTCATACTGTAACCCTTCTTGAGAAAAATATTCTCTAACCTGAAATTTTCCCAATATATAATTGGATGAAATTTCACTCAAACTTTCAACTCCCTGGAAGTAAGACTTGGTTAAACCACAGTGCAGAATCTCTTAGGTAAAAATTTCTATCAGTGATGAACTCCACACATATGGGCACATGGAAAGAGGAACTGTAGGAAGCCAGAGGTAGACTAGAGTTGGAAAACAAAAATGAAACCTAAAGAAAAGTCACTGTAAATAACCAGCCTCCAAGAGCCCAAAAAACACAGGTTTCTGAAGGAAGCAGAAGAGAGAATACTCACAGTTTCTCCAGAAGGAAGATGTATAGTCTGCGGTGCCTGCTTGTTCAAAAATTTGTTTAACAAGCGAATGTTGGCAAAGGTTCCCCGTGCCATGATGGCATCATTTCCTCGGCGGGAGCCATAGGAGTTGAAGTCTCGAGGAGTTAGGCTAATAATGCAAGCAGAACAGGAGCTAGTTTAGTGAAGTTAGCCAGGATTAAACTGAGCTTACACCAGAAAAGAAAAATACCATAAACCTGCCATTTCTCTAAGTCTACTAAGGTGTACTCCAAGGCAGAAGAGCTGTTGTTATAGCTTCAACTAGGGGCAGAGTGACAAGTCAGGTGGAGAAGAGCAGGAATCAATATTCACCTTGGGTCAACTCGGTGCATTTTATATTTGGATAGAAAAATCAGGAGGAATTCTAAAAAGAGTATTTATTACTCAGTTGGGTAGCTTATGAAGTTTCACATAACATAAAACAGGTAACTTAAAATTAAGAAAATAGAAATAAGAGAATAATCAGCGTAGATCAGTCTGATGGAGTCAAAGATGGGAGACAACAAAATACATTCCACAAACCAACCAGAAGTAAATTCAAATGCATACCCACATTATGAGGAACTCAATGCAAAAAGAAGCCACACATTGGCAACGTAATTTACAACTTTCATAATATAAAAATAAAAGCAGTGCCAAAGAGGCAGAACATCTATTTCTGGTCCCAGAACCAGAGAAATATCCTATTTCTGGGAATCAACAAAAGGAAACTGTGATGTCAAGAACATTATCTTACAATTAATACAGTGAACAGTTCACCAGCTTGTTCTTTAAAATACAAGGGGGTGGCTGGGCATGGTGAAGCAAACCTGTAATCCCAGTGGTTCTGGAGACTGAGGCAAGAGGGTCACAAATTCAAAGCCAGCCTTAGCAATGTAGGAAGGCCCTAAAAAATTTAGCAAGACCCTGTCTCAAAGTAAAAAATGAGAAGGGCTAAGGATGTGGCTCAGTGGTTAAGTGTCCCTGGGTTCAATCCTCAGTACCAAAACAAAACACAAAAACAAAAACAAAAAACAACCAACCAAGGGGATGGGTGTATTAACTTGATTTATAGATTTATTACAGATTCATTTGATGACTGGGTGTCAAGAGCAGATAAACATGCCTATGAATCCTTGAAATCCTATTCAAAATGCTTGCTTCCTTTTAGCTCACCAAGGATTCCATATGTCAAACGAGGTCAAGAATCACCACTAGAGAAAAAGTGAGTGGATGCTATTACTCAAATTTGCTCTGGGCCCCATTCCCAAAAGAGTTGATTCTGGAAGAAGGGACAAGAACCAGTAATTCTTATTTCCCCTTATAACTCTCATAGTCAGATTTGGGAACCACTGACTTCAGTTAATATCAGTATATTAGATAATAGGCAATACTGATATACTCCCCGTGAATATCAGTATATGTCTAAAGAACTGATGAATGGATGAATGAACAGCAAATTCCTGAAGCAGTTCTGTGTTTACAAAGAACCACTGCTATAAAGACATAGCAAAAGCATTTTGGGTTATATCACTGTGGACCTGAAGCATAAGCTACATCCACCACTAGATAACAGATGAGCCTAACTTAACACACTTGCTCAAAAAGAAGACTGTTTTCCCCTCCCATTGCTGGGACTCCTGAGCTATGAACAAACAGAAAAAGTGACTGACTTTTGAATTCCAGACTCTGGTTCCACAGAGACCATGTAACGAGAAATACTGGCCCTCTCCATTTCATTTATTCTACTTTGGCCTTTAGTCTTTTCCACCTCACTCATACTTACCCTCTATTAGTTAAGTAACGAGCAGCAGGGCTATTTCTTGCAATATTTCCAGCTGGAGAGATGTGGTCAGTTGTTACTGAATCTCCCAAATTTAATAGAACGTAGGCATCCACTATAGATTTAGGGGGCTGAAGATCCAAAGTCTAGTAAAGAATAGAACAAGTCCATATTTACCCAGGTTTTCTCAAAAAGTCACTAGGTGAGACTCAATAGTAGGAGTCCATGAAACTGGACCAGATGACAGTGCTATATAAATGGATAGAATAGCTTAGTTTTCTGGGTTTAAGCAAGGGTGCTTAGAAAAAGTAATGTGAACTTACTAAAAACATTCATATCTCAACCTCAAGAGAAGGCCAAGTATTGGCATGTCTGGCCAAAAGAGACATGAATGCAGCTGCAAATGACATTCATTCTTCTCCATAGAACTCAATTACCAAGGATAACTAGAATCCCGATTTCTCCCTTCCCCTTCCACAGTGACCATCGAGGAGCGGGGTGGGGTGGGGGTAAAATTTTAAACGTGGTAGGTCCTGGGGATGTCAGTCCCTCAGACTTTGCAGGCCCTTATCCTAGTGGCAGCTATCATCATGATGCCTCTGCAGAGCCACACAGAGAACTATCACTACAGCTAAGTAGCTGACTCCTAAAACATTCCCCAGCATTATCTGCTTGAATATACAAAGGTGTTTTTTTTTTTTTTTTTTTTTTTGGTGCCAAGGATTGAACCCAGGGGCACTCAACAACTGAGCCATATTCCTGGCCCTTTTCATTTTTTATTTTGAGGCAGGGTCTTACTAAATTGCTTAGGGCTTTGTTAATTGCTGAGGCTTTGAACTTACAATCCTCCTGTCTCAGCCTCCCAGCCACTGGGATTACAGGCATGTGCCACTGTGTACAGCATGAATGTACAAAGGTTTTAATGAAATGGATAGTCAAAGCAAAGGTATGGAATAATAAAGTGGATTTTATAAGGATAATAAAGTGGATTTTATAAGGATAGAAACCTCTTAAAGAACTTGTTTTGTTAAAAAATAAAAAGTCATACCAGATTTTCAAAGAATGGTGGTGATTTAATATATGTAGATTTGGGATTCCAGAAGTACAGCTTATCTGATGGAGCTCCTAAAGCATTCCAGCTTTCATTCACAGTCTTTAAAAAAAAAAAAAAAAAATCTAATCATAATCTATTCCAGGGAAAATTTAAATATGCAAACACAAAACATTCAAGCTAAGAGGTACAATAACAACCATTTTTATTGTAAATAGTCACATACAAGAGTTCCTTTATACTAAGACAATGTCACGCTAACTTAAAAATAAATAAGCTCTGATATAAGAGGGCTATATTAATGGCAGGAATGGTCCTATCCCCAGGATTTATACCCTTAGGTAACCCCCTTCCCGTCCAGCATTGGCTGATCCTATGACTTATTTCCAAGATTAGGTTATAAAGACACTTTGCCTTCTGCTTCTCTTATTTACTGGCTCTGATGGAAGCCAGCTCCCATATTGTGAACTGTGAAGAGACGCGTGCATAAGATGTTTTAGGAGATCCCTAGCTGAAAGCCAGTGGAGAATTGAGGATCTTAGTCTCATGTTACATGAGTGAGCCTAAGTGGATACTCCTCCAGAGACCACAGCCCCAATGATATTTTGCTTCGGGTCCTGAAAGTACTGGCACCCAGTGATGCTGCATCTGTATTCCTAACTCAGAGGAACTGAGATAATAAATATTTTTTTGTTTTGATTTTCTCAGTTTGGGGGTAATTTGCTATATAGCAATAGATAATGAATACATATAATTAAAGATAATATTTAAAATAACAATCCAGATTGTACCAAAGGGGAAACTACTCTGGATATTTTTAGGAAGTAGACTTCCAGGTCACATGGACACTGGATAGCAAGTAACCATTGCAATGTTTTAAAAATGAACTGAATTCTCTTCACAGATCCATTAACTTGGCCTTTGGAGAAATGCGTTTAACCAGATGGCTACCAAGCCTCCTAAAATCCATTGAGCAGCTTGTGGAAGGGTACAGGATGCCTCAATACAACTAACCATTTCACTCTGTCCCCAGACAGTCCTGCTTTCATTTCAAACCAGTCAGAAGCCTTGGCCAGCTTAACACAAAAAGCAACAAAAGGAACAATATCCAATGATAACAGGATGTTTGAGCCTTCACAAGCCTCCAAGGAAAGGAATAACAACCAAGAATCTCCAAAAATGATTCAGATTTATAAAATGCACTTTACTTTTCTTATTTCAGCAGTTTGTGGCTAATTCCTCCTGAGGTTTTCTTTCTTTTTTTAAACACCCAAATAATGCATTAAGAGGTACATTCAACCCACTGATTCCACCTCAATGACACAACACAGTGACCATCAGGGTCCTCACCACAGATGACACACATCCCAGGGTATCTGAGAAAAGGGTGAACCTGAGGCCTTTCTTCTTGAGGCTCTCACACACTTGTCCATATCTGAGAACAACTGGGGAGTGTGAGATTCATAGAAACATGAAATCAGGGGAGAAAACTGCCTGAGAATCACCTCCTTAGTTATCTGAAGAAATAAGGGTTAATTTTAATAGATACTCCCATTAACTTCAAGGTCTGCAGAAATGACACGAGAGGCTTTCTCATATATCACTGAGGGGCTGCAAAGGGCCTCACCTCTATTTTCTGATAGACCTCCTTAAACATCCCAGGGATGACATACTGTCGCTCCACCGCCTGGATCTCATCTCGAGTGGGCCAGATATCTTTCAGAAATACTTGTTGTCCCTTTGCATTTGTCCCTGAGGAAAATATGTTTACCAATGAGAAAAGCCTCCTCTAATATCCTCTTTGCATTATTAATACAGTCAGGTCTCTTTTCTCTCAATGGTTATGTTTGTTCTGAAAAGTATGTGTGAAGAGTCAGTCAGTGAACCATTGCTCCTAGGAGAGATACAGGTCAAGGCCCTAGGTGCTTCTGACTACACTTTCATCCATACATAAACTTGTTTTAGGTGTCCTCCTGTTTAAAGACATCTTACTTACTATACAGTTGGGCCTCTGTATCTGTGAGTTCTGCATCTGCTGAACCAACAATGGATTGAAAATGCTCAGGAAAAAAAACTGCATCATACTGTGCATGTATAGATATTTTTATCATTATTCTCTAAACAGTACAATATTTATAAATCTATTTTATATAGCATTAACATTGCATTAGGCATAATAAGCAATCTAGATATGATTTGTGTAGGTTATATGCAAATACTACATCCATTCATATGAGGCACTTGAGTGCCTCCTGATTTTGGTATCCCCAGGGGTCTTGAAACCAATGCTCATGGATACTGAGTGGTGGGTATATATATAGCCTTGGACTTATAATTGAAAAGCACTATAACTCATGCCTCAATAAAGCCTACCTCAACATAAGGTACACCACCATGGTCTTCTTGTGCACAAAATATCACAGTACTTCACACTATGCTCTAGGACCAATTTAAAAGTGGAACCACCACAAAAAAGCATAAAAATGAGGAAAAAATGGCACTAAGTAGACTGTGGAAAGTATACTTGTTCAGAGTGTGGGAGCTGATACAAGAAGATAGAGTGCAGCCTTCATGGACCTTAGCATGGAAGGTGTGTTGAGTGACTTGAGAAGTTTTCACTCCTGTGCATGTATGTGAGTGGCACTAAAACATCAGAAATACTGACTGAAGGTTAAAACACATTTTAGTGGGTAGGCAAAATTGCAAATATGGAATCCACAAACAATGAGGATCAACTGTACTTCTGAAGTTATAATTTCCTAAAAGTAAATCTAAGGGACAATGTTTGTGTATCATCTAAACTTCTTGGAATGGACTGAGAGGGTACAGCAAGCGAGAGGCCCACAGGAAAGGAGTCAAAGCATCAGTTCTAAATTTTGAGAAGTTGAAATATCTTAACACGTTTAACAAAAAACATGTTAAAACAATGCCTATCATTAGAGTAAAGCAAGAGTGAGAAAGGGAGGAACTGTAGAAGCCAGGAAAGCAAATCTCTACTACTTTTGGCATTTATTTCCCTTTGCTACTCTTGCCCACATTCATGTTTAGTTCAGTATGTGTCTTCCCTGTGTATGGAGAATGTTGAAAATATTCTCCTCTTTGTCTTATCTCTAAAGGTTCTGTGCTTCATTTTTAATCAAGAAAAATAGCAATTTTCTTCCAATACTGTTTTTTAATTCACTGGAAAAAAAATTATAGACACACAAACAAAATCTTACCCAGTGGTTCTTTCTCAAAGTCAATCCTGATGGTCCCAGCAATTGCGTATGCTATTACTAAGGGAGGAGACGCTAAATAGTTGGCCCGGGTGTTAGGGTGGACTCGACCCTCAAAGTTCCTGTTCCCAGATAGTACTCCAACAGCTACTAGGTCTCCCTGTATAAGGACAAGATGGAAAAAAATCAAGTCATAAAGAGGAAGAGACTGCCTAGACTTCTTATCATAGATCACTCACAACAGTTCACATAATGTGGGTGTGGCCCTTTCATTTTCACTGGTCCTCTCGGGCTACAGAGAGAAGGGTCTTTGGGACCAGAGTTGTGCTCAATGATCTCTTCTCATGAGAAAACTCCAAGCAGGTCAAAGCACAATCTCCCAGATACTGCTGCCTGAGCTAAAGAACAGGTGGGGAACATAAGCTGATAGCTAAAGGGAGCTATGGTGACCTATGTAAACTCAACAGTACTGGGGACAAAAGCCAATGCAATTTAGATTATTTAGGTGGAGACCAGTTTGACTTGGAACCAATTTTCAACAAAATTGTAGCCAGAACTAGCATGTACTGAGCACTTACTTAAGTGCCAGGCACTGGGCTAAATGTTTTATGTTGACTGTCATTTTAATTCTCACAACTCTATAAAATAGAAACTATCATCATCTCTAATTTACAGTTGTGGAAACGGAGGAACAAACAGGTTAATTAACTTAACCAGGGTAACAGAGCCAGATATTTTAAAGACCATATTCTTAACCACATCCCCTGTTTTTACGGTGTATCTTGAAATTACCAGCATTTTTGTCATATCTTATATGGGGGGGAAAAAAAAAGCTCTGAATACCTACAGGTTCCTCTGTAATTACCTGAGTGATGGCTTCTACCACAGGTTCAGGTAAGGGTCCACTGTTGCCAATGCAGGTCATGCAGCCATAGCCCACCACATCAAACCTATGAATCAAAGGGAAGCACAAGAAAAATAATGACTTTTTGTGAACCCTTTGCAGGCAGTACTTCTGAGAGACCATGGATCACAAAGGAATAGGAGCGCCTAAGGTTAAGTTCAGGACAGTGTTGTTTTCTAAAGCTTTCCTTCTAACTTATAACAAGGAGATAAATGATTCACCATTTTAAAAAATTCAAATCAGATATGGTATTTAATATTTCCATTTACTACTGCTATTGTATAAACTCAAGGATTTTTGAATTTTATGAAGTGTACAGGAAAAAATGTCATCTAAACCAGGAATTATATGGACATTGGAGAAACTATATTTGGCAACTGATTTGTCTCAAGAAATTACAATGTTTTTAGCCACAGTAAATACTTATTTTCATGCCCAAAGGCATACTCTCAGTTGCAGAGCCTCTGCTAGCCCATGGCATACCTCAATGCAAGTAAGAAAAAGATGCACCCTTCTTCCAGGAGGGTGCAGCCTCACATTAGGTGGTCTCAGTTTCAGCCCCTGCTTTGTCTTTAGGATCATCCTTATATGATGAACAACCAGCACAGGTGGGCCATATTCAGTTGAAATGTCTGGGTTTAAATCTACCTACCAACTGATAAAAGACTATACTGTTGAACAGCATCAGATAAACTCATAGCTACCACATGGTGACACAGCAAAACATATGAGGAAAAGCTACAACAAAAGCAACAGTGTGAAACAAAATACTCCTCCTCACCCAAGCTGAGACAGATAAGGCATGACTCCACTTTCTCGCAGATAGTAAGTGACCACTCCACTGCCAGGAGACAAGCTGGTTTTGATGTATGGCTTCACATTCAGGCCAGCATCCACAGCCTTCTTTGCTAATAATCCTATAAAATGTAAGCACAAACAGTGTGTGGTGACTACCTGCCCCAGTTAAGGGCACTTCAGGAAAGAGCCTGAATTTTCAGTCATACTCCCTGCCACTGTCAAGGCTTCCTTGGTGCTGGCATTCTGTGCCATTTCTGCTGACTATCAGAAATCAAAGTTCAATGGCTCAAAGTTGTTTACACATTTGTAATAAAGTCAGAACTAGTCACGAAAATAAAGAAAGAGACGTGTTTACTTTTCTTTTTTAAAGAATAAATGCAAAACTTAAAAATATGTTACAAAGTGAGTTTTTAATTTTTGGAGGAAGTGCAATTTTTTAAATTGAGTTTGATCTGTGTGAAAATTATAATTGGAAGGCCTCTTTCTATGAATTGTATACTGGTTGGTGAGAAATATAGTGAGCCTAGAAGTAAAAATTTAGACTACAGATATTTCTCAAGAGCTCCTGGGCCTTTGGACTTTGAGCAAATACAGGAACTGTTACTGGAACACTGGGTGCTCTCACTTAGTTAAGTATCACAAAAGCAGAAAAGAATGGAATAGGGGTGAGGGTGTAAAGGGACAAAGAGCTACAGATAAGTTGGTGATGTGTCTTAAGAAAAACTGGTTTGCTCCAGACAAGGAAAGCTTAAACCCAAAAGATGAACTTTCTGACAAAGGTTTTCCTTATACCCATAAACAAACTACACTGACATTGGTCTGTGGACACAAAGGAAATTCGTGGGGATGATTAAACATTTGGAAACTAAAGATATATTATATTAGAGAAACACTGCAGGTAAACATTTTAAATATTTAACCAGAACTGTGTAACAAGACAGGTGCACTGAGTTTTATCAACCAGTGCCTTATGCCCTAGTTCTGATGCACTTGCCAATGCACCTAAACAATACTAAATTTCACTGGTCAGGAGTTTTACAGAGAACAAAGTCTGTGACAAGACAATAGGTTCTTTTTTTTTTTTTTTTTTTTTTTTGTCTTCTAAAGTCTGAAAAGATTCTAGCTTTGAAAAAATTATTTCTTTGGTTTCCTCTACTTATTTTCTCTAAAGAGAGAGACTATTATGCATCTTTGTTAAATACTTTGCTTTGGATGCTATTGTTGTATAGATATTTCTGGGCCAAAAAAATATCTTTATCTACAAAGACAAAGTTCAGGGAACTATGTGTGCAACTGTTATGACCCTGGGTCATATCTTGGGAATTTCCACAAGCATGTCCACATGGTAGTGGGGATGGACTCTAATGCACTTACCTGCTCCTAACATCACAGATGGATTACTGGTATTTGTGCAGCTAGTAATGGCAGCAATTACCACAGAACCATGAGCAAGGGTGAATTCATTATTATTGTAGATAAATGTCTTCTGGTCATTGTGATGGTCTGCAGCAACTTGGAATCCTTTAAATCCTTGCTATAGAAAGAAAAAAACACAATTTAGGAAGAAAAAAATGTAAGAGATATGGTTTTTAATATAGGAGGAAAATATATATATTGTCAAAAAGTTCTCACTTTGGAAGAAGGAATTGGTAACCACAATTTTAAAGGCCAGTTATTAACAACAAAAAAATCTCTGCCAGTAATCTATGAAATTCCACATAAAGTTTCTCTACATTCTTTTAAAATATTTACAAAAGGCAGCCTTAATTCCTGAATCTTACTCTGCATTAAAATCAATAATGATTATTCTCTTCTCTCTTAAAAAATGAGAATGCTAGACAGGTGCAGTGGGGCCCACCTGCAATCTCAACAACTTGAGAGGCTGAGGCAGGAGGATCACAAGTTTGAGGCCAGTCTGAGCAATTTGGAAAGACCCCCTGTCAAATGAAACAATAAAAAGGGCTGGGGAGGTAGCTCAGTGGTAGAGAACCCCTGGGTTCAATACCCATACTGCAGATAGATAGATAGATAGATAAAATTACAAGTTTAGTTCAAAGTTGATCTACATAGAACTCCAAGACATTACTGTATGGTTTAATGAACATGGACTGACTAAAGCTACTAATTCTGTTTTTTTTTTTGTTTTTTTTTTTTTAAAGAG